CCGCCAGGAGGGAATAGTATCGAGGCCGAAGAGGCAAAACCTCTCAGCCTTGAGACTGTAGAGTCTTGAGGCCGAGAGGAATCCCTCTTGGCCTTGAGAATGTAGAGTCTTGAGGCGAGAGAATCCCTCTTGGCCTTGAGCCATGTACAGTCTCAAGGCCGAGAGGGATTCCTCTCGGCCTTGAGCCATGTACAGTCTCAAGGCCGGGAGGAACCCCTCCCGGCCGTGAGACTGGACAGCCTTTTGGCTGGGAGGGGTTCCTCCCAGCCCAAAAACCTTTTTTTTTGCATTTTCTCCATGGGCTATTCCATAGTACCCATGCCTGGGTCCTATGGGATAGCCCCAGTCCTAAACCCATATTTATATGGTTTAGGACCCAGATTGGTGTGCAGGCCTGCACGCCAACTGCAGGCCAATCTACCCTGCTGCAGATTGGCGTGCGCACCTGCACGCCAATCTGCTTTGGCGTGCAGTTTGGCGTGCTCAAGGGGGGTTGGCTTGCGCTTATCAACCCTCCACTTTGAGCTTTCTGTGGCCTAATGCAAACTTCTTAGCTTAACGGAGCCACTCAAACAAGCAGTCTGGGAGAAGATATGCAGGGAACTCTGTACCTGGATAGGCTTATAATGCCTTACTTGGAAAATTTAGAAGTAGATGAATTGATTTCCAGGCTTTGAAGCATAAGACATTATTCAACATCACTACTACCCATTAACAAAGAAACTTTGAATAGAGACAGCAATGGGCTGCTATGCTATACTACACTACACCTCCCATTAACATCAGTGCAGTGGCCTTCAAAATAGTGTGCCAACACTGTAGTGTTAGCACACTGCTATTCCCACTACATGGTGTTACATGGCACTACACCGCTTTTAGCGGCAAAAAACAGCCAAAAACAGTTAAAAGGTGCTGAAGCGCAGTGTGGTGGGCCACTTTTTGAGGCCTGCATGTGTAGCATTAGCACAGTTGTGGAGGAATTCAGCTGGACTATGGTAAATGCTAGCAGAATTTTGCTACATATGTTGGGCTGTGCTAAGGCTACAGTTAGTGTACCTGGCCCATTGTGAATAGAGACCATGAAAACAAGAAGAATGAAACTGACACTTGATCATGTCAAGTGAGATTCAGAAACGAGTGGAGTGGCTCTACTCATGAAGCAGTGGTGGTACTCCCCCAAGTCTCACCCATTATGGCCCCGTTTCTTTTCATGGGTAGGCTGCCACTGTACGGACTGACTGACCTGTTGGACAGCCCAGTCTAACAAGTACTCAGACAGACTATATTAAAGCTGTTTGGCATGATGGGCGTACCCAAGAAAGTGGGCCATCCTGGTGAGCTGGGTAGTTGGTGGATAAATCATGACACTTGTTATGATCTCTCACTTGTACATAGTCTGAGATGACAAGATTTTACCAATGTTGTACAACTCACTTTTCTTGTATGTACAGAATTGGGTATCCATGGATACCTCACATATCTATCTCCAAAAGAAAACTTGCAAGCTATGTGTTCATACACTCAAGTGAGGTTTGCCCTGTGCACTTCATACTAACATAGTCAAAATGGGGTTTTCTGGCCATCTCTGCACTCAACCTCTTCACATATTTGGCAGTCTCAGCAACCAAATCTTTTGGCTGACAACAAAAAAAGAACTGAAAGAAAGGAACCAATGATATATTGAAATCAACTGCTTTCTTTTCTGGAATAGATGGTAAAGACAAGATGCTTTTTTTTGACAAGATGATGATGATGATGATTTTGCTTCACTTTTTTTTCAGGGATTACTAGAGAGGGGGAGGCCTGAGGGGAAACTAATATGAAAATTCCATCCAAATCATCTGGTCTTGACGATAGATTGATGGAACCATTTGCATGTATATTCTTATCCAGAATAATCAGAATGGTTATGTATGTACGCAAAGATTAATCAGACTCATTTCAGAAGAGGACAGAAAAAAAAAAATATGTTTTGGCATTTGTTGAGAGACAAGATTGAGTATGTATGACTAAGGTAATGCGCGTAGATGCGTAAGTTTTTTGCTTTGCTTTGTTTTGTTCTTTCTTTTTTTTTCAGAAAGAGGTGATTGACTTGAACGAAGAAAAAAAAAAAAATTAAGATTTTTTTAGGAACCGATCCAACTTGAATTGACCTTTGAAATCCATCCCTATTAGAAATAAACAAAACAAAGCAGAAGGATCAATTTCCACCCCCTCCATAAAAAAAGACGAAAAAAAAAGAAAGAACAAGAGGGACAAACCTTTAGCGATTAAAAAGCTTTCGCGATTTAAGAAGTCCAATGCAGTAGCCAAACGAAAGATGATATTTTTGAGTTTGATTCGATCAGCTTGATGATGAGGAGACGTGCAACTCTCTACAAAAAAAACCAAGAAAGAGAAGATTAATCAAAAAAGCTGCGCATTGAAAAAAAGGGGAGAAAATGAAAGAAAGGATTAGAGAGAAAGAAAAAGTGAAACGTACTGATTGAATGATCCAATGATTCTAAAGCTTGATGGACCAAAGTGATCCAAACATTCCCGGTGAGCTTTGCTTCAAAAGAAGAAGAGGACGGATCGGCGGGAGGAAGAGGAGCGGAAGAAAAGGAAGCGGGAGGGGTAGGATTGGATGAGGGAGGCGCCGCCGGAGGTTTGGATATAGGGAGATTCTTAGGGTCGATGAGGAAGTCCCAAAGGCCCATGGTCAAGGTTTGGAAGAGAAGCACGAGGGCGGAGAATTGGGCCTCGTTGATGGCGTCTTCGGAGCCCAAATAGCCCGCAAAGGCTGGCCGAAACTTCTCCTCTTTGATCGGCTTTTTAGTGCTCTCAATCTCAATCAAACTCGACATTGTCGAGTCTTGTGTGGCGCCCATAGGCTCGTCCTCTTGGCTCTTTGGCTCTGTCACTGTCGAGGCCAAGGGCGCTGGCTCGTATGGGCGTCGAGACCTTTCTTTGAGCGTGTTGAAGATCTCCCGAGTGGGCGGATCAGTCGTGAATCGATTTGTGATCTGAACAGACAAAACCCTAACGTCAGCGACTATCCGGGATGAGCAGTATGTGGAGTCAAGAGGGAAGGGGGTGAACTGACGTGGGCCAACCAGCGAGCCATCTTGTACAATCCCTCCTCCTGGACTGGAGCAGGCGCGTCAAGATGGCCGACGGCGAGATTGACAACGCCGATGACGAGAGCTTTGCGGAAGGGAAGATGGGCGGGGAAGAGGCGGACGAGGTCGAGCTGGTTGGTCCATGTGTGTAGGTCGATGGCCACCTTGAGCGTCTCGACTAACAGACTGATCTTGGTCTCCTTGGTCGACTGCTCTCCCGAAGACCCATGATAGACCGTCGTGATCACATGCGAAATAACTTCCATCACGTCCGCCCTCAAGCTGCTACTCGTTGGCTCTACACCCACTCGTAGTGCAATCGTCAATGCCCATATCCGACTGGTTACAACATCCAACACACACATATATATATATAGAGTCAGCCGAGCGTGGTTCTAGAAAAAAAAAGCAAGGAGGAACTCAAGTACCCTCGGTCGTTCAGATAGGAGGCTGAAGAAAGAACGGTGAAGAGCTTGAGCACCAATCGGAATCTCTCAGTAGCTGTAGTGAGCGTGAACGCGAACGAGGGGTTTGAGGATTCGAGCCGAGCGGGATCCTGGTTGGAATAGTTACCGAAAAAGACGAGGTGGGGGAGGAGGCCTAATTGACAGAGACCATCCTGGAGGGTGCTCAGCCAGAACTCATGCAGTCTGTTCAGAGAAGGCGTCGCGGAGAGCGTTGCGAGCAGGGCCTCGATCAGCACCACTGCTTTCCTCGCGACCGGCGCCGGGTACTCTGGGTTAATCAACGGTCGGAAGAGCAGCCCGAAGATCGTCTTGTGCGTCATTATCATCGTCCCCGACTCGTCTGCTAATGTCCCATTGGTTAATGACTCTGGAATCACTCGCGTTAGGTCGATCGGTAACGCGTCGGGATGTCTGATCGAATCTAAATCCTCCCTCTCTCTCTCTATCAACATAAAACCTCTTTTTCTTTCTGGCTTTGATTCTAGAAAGGGAAAGCTTACATTTGAGATTGTCAATCAGCTCTTGGACGAATTCGATGACCTCAGGATCTTTCGAAACGCCTTCAAGACCACAATAATCGATCCTAGGAAGCGAAGGTGGTGGGGGATTGGCAGTAGACTCAGGGTTGAGTAGGTTGGGATGGAAGAGTTGTCGGTAGTTGAGCCCTCGATTGAGACCAGATAGCTTTCCGGAGACGAGATCGTCGCGTAAGATTTTGTGTATTTTAGGCTTGTGAGCGGTGGATTGAGTATCAAGCGCAGATTGGAATCGATCGATATCTTTCTCGTCCAAGAGGATCGCTTTCGAGGGGCTGATGATCAGATCGGCAGTCCGATCGCTCAGCATGATCATCGCTTTCGGCGGGGTGCTCGGATCTTGAGCACAGATCGAGTCGAGTCCGTTGACAGTCTTAGAATCATGATGACTGCTGTTGGTCTTAGACTTCTTCTGTGGGGTCAGCAGAGGGTCGTGGCTAGCTAGTAGTTCGTCGGGGGTCTGTTCGTTGTCTTCGGAGACTCCAAGCGCCTCACGGGTCCGTTTGAGGTTGGCCTGTTTCTCTGAGCGTATGCGTCGGTCCTTGAGGATGTCTTCTAGTGAGAATTTTGCGGGGCCGGCGGGCTTGTTCAATTTGATCATCGTTTTTGATCCGCTGCCGATCGAGATCGATGGGGATGGTTTGCTGGTCGATGGGACGAGTCTGGAGCTCCGTCTTCGGGCTGGATTGAAGCTGGAGGAGGGTGATGGTGATTTCTGATGTGGGGTATTCGTTTTTGGGTCCGGTTTCTGTGGTTTGGTTTGGATGGTTTTGCGTTTAGTTGGTAGAGCAAAGTCATGATCGGGTAGTTCATCGTCGTCGTCGTCGTCATCATCATCGTCTATTTCAATGTGATGATCGTTCTTGTTGTTTTGGATCGTTGTTGGTCTTGTTTTTGTCGTTCTTTTGGTTGGTGTTGGGTTGTCATCTAGTGAGGAGAGTGAGGAAAGTGAGCTGCTGGAGTGAGGTGAGGGTGTGTGGTTCTTCTTGATTGTCTTGCTGCTTTTGGGCAATGTTGAGATGGATGTTCGTTTAGGTGATGTTTTTAGGGTTGTCGTTCTGGGTCTTGAGGTTGGTGATGTTTTTGAAGTTGTTACTCTGGTTGTTGATCTTCTAGTTGCTGTTGTTTTAGGTTCGGTTGCTGATGGTTTGTTCTTGTTATCGTTCTGTTGTTGGGTTGTTGTGATGGGTTTGAAGTGGTCTTTGATCGTTCGTTTTGGTTTGACCATCTTTTTAGTAAGTAGTTGGTTGCTTGCAGTTGTTGGTTCCTGTTGACCGCTCTCCACAGCAAACACCAGCCACCATTGGACGCGGCCGACCCCGTGGCCCGTGGGGGTTAATTATGCCCCTATAGGAAGAAAGAACCCATTTGTTTCAGATTTTTCCTATGTATGTACATACTATGCATTTATGCGGTGACAGATTATGCCGTTAGACGTGCGGTATGCGCTCAAGAAGGAGGTTTTCACTGATTTCCACTGGGCTCTTCAATCGGCCTCGACAATGCCAACACCCTCCTCAAAGACAAGGACGATCCAGCTAACCGGCCTCTGCTCCCCCAAGGACGCCACACACACAGCGTGTATCTTACTAGACGGCCTACCTGACTGTGTCACCCCCCCTCATGGCGTTGACCGCGACGACGACGACGACGGTCCTCGGCTCTTCCTTCATTACGACCAAGATCTTGCTTCACTCACCGTCGGCGCACTGATGGAACGCCTCCATCAGGAACTTCAACCTCTCATTCCCGCCGCTTACCGAGCTGCGACAAGCCGCTACAGCCTCCCGATGGAAATAGCCAAGGCGGACGATCCGAAGAGCCTCAAGTCGTTTTTCCACCTAATGCCTGTCCATCCTCGCGCATTGGTGAAAAAGCTACTTCACGAACCAGGTCCAGAGGCAAATAGACTGTTGGTGATGGACTTCAGAAATACAGGTCAACTAGTTCCTCACATCATCTCTTGACTTCTTGGTGCTTTCCCTCCCCAGTGTTTGTTGCTCTGCTGACGTACCAATCTTGCTGGCTTGTCAGGAACCGTCAGCGCAGAAACCCTGCTACAGAGGACTTTCAAGGGTTACGCACTAACCAACCGAACAACGACGGGAAGTACATCCTGTGCTGCGGGTCGCGTTCCAAGGGTTGTTTCGCTATGGACGAATTTCCTCTCGGACGTGCAGGGTTTTGAAAAGCGACCGGCAATTTGCGCCCCGCACCGCACCCTTTTTGAGGATGTACAACCCAAGAAGCACAGGATCGTCAGCCAGGAAAGCACCATCGAAGGGCTGCTTGACAATGAAAGCTTTCAGGTGTTCAACAACCTAGCAGCTGGTGCACCTCTTTGGGCGGGCACTCGGCAGCTTGCAACGTGCTTTGGACAGCCTGACCGAACGATTACCGATTGCTTGTACACGCTGCTGCCAATCGAAGTGGAGCCGACGTCTATCATTGCAGAAGGAACCGACTTGTTGGAAGAAATCAACAGCACCTTAAAAATGCTCTACAAAGTCGTGAAGGCAAAAGATCACCGTTGGATCAAGTTATCATTGACGGAGCGCCAACGATGGGAGGAAATTGTGCGCAGTTCTCCGGCATCGAAAGCTTTCACACAAACTTATGGTCAGCAAATCGCCAATGTATGATACGATGCGAGCACTTTCAAAAATACTACCCTTTGTGTCAGTGTTGATGTATTGATATTCTAATCAGGCTACTCGTGTGCCAACAAAACTCGATACGCCATCCTCACTAACGGCATTGACTGGTGGTTCATTGAGCGGTCAAATCAATGCGTGGGGGACGTGCAAGTGACTCCTTCCATTAACATTAAAAGCACAAACCCAACGGTCGCACAATGCTTGAACTACATTGCCAAGCGGGCGTTGGAAACTCCTGGATGCCCGTCGCCCTCTGATCCGACACCCTTTCCTCCACCCTCCTTCAAGTCACAGTTCCCACACCAAACCCGCCCGCTGCTTCTTCCGCCTGACAGCCATGCCCCTGCAGTTTTGCTGCTTCCAGACGACACCGAACAGTTTTTTGACGACGGGGACGTGAGTGGGCTAGAAGACACTGTCAAAGGGTTACACGGCAGCACTTCAAGAGCTGTCGTCTTTGGGATTACAATGGCTTTGAAAGTTGTCGACTTATACAAAATGAAAGACGGACTTGCTCCGCTTGAGAATGAACTGGCATGCTACCAGTACATGGCAAAACTTAATGGTAAGATTATACATACATTGCAGCTTGCTAGCCTCTCTTCCAAAAACAAGAATCCTTACTTCTATGTGAACGACTCTCTGATTCCCGTACTTTGTAGGAACTGTTGCCCCGCGGCTGACCAGCTTTGGTATGTTGGGGAACGGTGCATTCCCGGTACTTGGTACCGAGTGGATTGAGGGTCATCCACTGAGCAAAAAGGATTCTGCTCTCTTCCCGGAAGTACGAAAGGCATACCGCAATCTCCACTCCTTGTACATCAAGCATGGCGATGTAGCCAGCCGCAACATTCTGGTGTCCAATGGCATGGTCAAGCTTGTGGACTTCGCTCAGGCTACCATTTTGGAAAAGGAACAAGTCGCACGTGGCGAACTCAACAGGGAGATGGAAGCTGTTGAGGCTCTCCTGTGCAAGCTCAGTCCGATGCCGCAAGACTCAGCCACTAGAATCCCCTTACACAAAATGTGTTGTCTGGAGTAGGACAAATGTCTTTGTTACAGTTGCTTGGACCTTTTTGGCTTATCCATGAAATGCTACGTTAAGCTGATGCGTTCAATACATGTAGAACATATCCCAGAGCAATTCTCCTAACCATTGTGGAGTCCAGGCTTTTGCATAAGGAAATCAGGACTCACTGTCCGATTCTGCAGGTAACAATCTTGACAAGACTTCTACACTACATAGGAGAAGGCTCATGACCTAAAGAGGCACTCATATGTAGTCCAAGTGTGACTCAGTGAGAAGGAAAAATAATCGGTAGCATAGAGAGGAAGCAAGAATTGAAACCATAGACACGATATTCGGGTTAACTTTGAAAAAAAATGAGCTGTCACTGAAAGTCTCCAAAAGCAGCTTAGAGATATCCCAACTGGATTTCCGATTCTCCAACATCATGAAGCTCACGGTCATCCCACTTGAGAAATCCGCAATTCCATCACAACAAAGAACACCTGCCATCCCAAAAGGGATCATAACATTGGCACTCAAAAAATGCAGGTCCCAGTCACCACACCGTGCATGGTTTCCTCAATGAATCCCAAGATTGACAAGTCCCATCTTCACTGTGGAGGGGAAATTTAGATATAAATCAAGCTACCTTTGCCCGGTTAATTCCATCATCTTGACATTCATATTCTGATTCTCCCCTCCCTTGATTGGCACCTCACCTTTCACATTGAATTGATTCCCTAATTTTGCTTTGGCAGAGACCTTTTGTCCATTTGCTGAACTATTATTTCCACTCATCACATCCTCCCTTTGCTTTCACTGGAAGCCTTTATCATCTGGGTTTTGCACTACTATTCCCTCCGATTAGAGATGTTGCTTGATACCCAGGTACCTGTAGCGGGTGCGGGTACCTGCCTCAAAAATCCAATATTTTTGACACCCGCAACTGCTAGGGCCGCCAGGGTGGGTACCCGGGTACCTGCGCCGGGTACCTGGCACATTTTTGCAGGCAAATATACCCAGAAATCTCACCCTTGAATTTCTGCATGACTTGGTAAATATAAGATTGATATTCACTAGATATATGAGTAAGAATAAAATATAAAATAGAAATAAAGAAATAAAGAAAAACAAATTATTCAATCACCAATCTGAATTTTATCTTCTCTCTGATCTATCTTTAGCTTTACCCTTTTGCTTGGCCTCATTTGCCTTATTCAATGTCCATTGATGAAGACTGTACACCGTCTTTATGACTGGAGGAATTCCTCCAGTCATCAAGACTGTACACCATCTCAAAGGCCGGAGGGGACCCTCCGGCCTCAACAAACCAACCAGATTAGTTCAGCAACACATGTAAGACACCATCTGGTGTTCTACATGGGTTGCTGACACCTTTGTGCAGCCCAACACACCCAAAAAAGGGAGTGTTGGACCACCAATGATAAATTAAATTCTTCAGGGGAAGCATTCCCAGGGCGGGTGTAAGGCGGGTACCTGCCTTTTTTTACCGCAAATGTTGACACCCACACCCGCACCCGCACCTGTTTTTACCGCAAATGTTGACACCCGCACCTGCACCTGCACCTGTTTTTACCGCAAATGTTGACACCCGCACCCACACCTGGTACCTGCTTTGGAAAACAGGTACCTGCAAACGGGTACCGGGTACCTGCTGACATCTCTACCTCCGATCACAGCAAAATTTTGCTTTGACCAAGACCACTTTCCATCCTCCCAACTCTTAATCCCCTAACTTACTTCCCTAATTTTGGTTTGACCAAGAACCCTTCCATCTTTTCAACTGTTATTTTCCCTTCTTGACCAGACCTTCTTTCATCTTATCAACTGTAATTTCTTGATTGAGCTCCTCTCATACCTTTTTGACTCAACCCCTCACCCTTCCTACCTCCAATATACAACCGCTAAAATGGTTTACCTCAACCAGATATACCCTCATGTCAAAGACATCTTTGATGTTGTTCCTTGATCCTTCTTGGAGGAAGTACCAGTCCCTGTAAACTCCTCAACTGTAGCACCCAATTCTCTTTGAACTATCCGACATCTAGGTGTGAGAGCTCCTTCATTCCCAGACCAGCCATATCCATATCAGTTCACCATCCCCGGCAATTCTCTTGCTGAAGCAGAGAAATTTGTGCAAGCAATGTCTGAAACCATTTGATGGAATCGGTCCAGAAAAACCAACCATTCATCTACAGTTGAAGAAACTCCAAACGGCCCAGGCAAACGTCCAGCTGTTTTATTCAAGCTCGAATACACATGTCCTTGAAGTGGTTGACTGGATCGTTCCCCAACCTCCCAAAAGACACACAACTCCATCAAATGAGATTGCAACTCAAAATTCAGCATTTCCCTCCACATCAAGACCAACATGCTACGGGTTGTGTGATACTGGAAGCACAACCACAATCCAACTTCACATAACAACATGCTTGTTTCCCGTCCACCCGCTTCTGTGACTAAGTGGCTCAAGGACCGTGTTCTTTCTGGCTTGGACTGGGACACCATTGAACAGCTGGTGAACTGCTCTGACATATTTGATGTAAGTAACCATTTCACCATTTTTTTCACTCAGTCATTCGGCATTGACTTGTTCAAACTATTTGCAATGTTCACCTACCAGTTGGAATCCGATTCAATTAAGCCTCAGGGATTTGCAGTCACCTACGACCGATTCCAATATCTCAAGCTTACATGTATGACTGCACCCGCTAAGCAAGATCCAGATGCTCTCAATTCCCTCACACTGTGGAATACGCTGTAAGACTCAAAAGTGGTTGTGAAACCCTTTTGCTGAATGGAGAAGGGGAAGTGTGGAGTTGCAAGCTCTGCCCTTCTATGCTATCAGAACAACAAGACCACCAAGCTCAGCTTGGCAGTTTATATATCGTGATAGAGGATAGTTCGAGATGAAGCTGTCGAATGATTCGTATAACGGTTAAAGGTGTTGATGGTGATTGTTGATGATGATGTTGTTGTCGATGAAGTAGTTGATAGAGGTGTCAATGATTGTTGTCAAGGTTGAGGCTTGAACGCAGGTCCTTGAGGTTGAGGGTATATAAAGTTAAAAGGAGGTGATTTGGAACCAAGGCGCTGGGCGCTGGGAGCACTATGCTTCAACCAGGAATGGAACAGGGGACTGGGCACTTGGTATGATGATGATGATATGAAAGTGTTAAGAATATATTGCAATAAAATAAGGGTGGTTATATAACTGTGACTTGTAATATAATGGGTGGTTGAGATGATCTGGTCCACTGGTGGGATGATGAAAGGTACAACTGGCAGGCAGAGGCCTCCTTATATAGACAAAAGTGAGGGATTTTAGCTCCAGGGTACATGCATCTGAGGGATTTTAGCTGCAGGGTACATGCATCTGAGGGATTTTAGCTAGTCTAGTGCATGCAGGTGAGGGAATTTGGCTGGTGAGTGCACTGCCTTGAGGGATTTTGGCTAGCCTACAAGGTCCTACTACAAAGGAATGCATGTGCACTTACAAAGGAATTCAATATGAAATATAAGGCAGTAAAGGAATTCAATATGAAACAAAGGAATTCAATATGAAATATGCATCCAGTATTCAAAATGAGGTGTGGTCAGAATAATAATAAAGAAAAGCTCCTGTGACAGCTTGAGATAAGTGTAACTTCTGAACTAGTAGAGATAAGAGGGTAGTTGTAGTGAGTGACTAGGGGTTATTTTACCTCAGGAATCCGTTTTTGATGTTGTTTTTACCCTATCTTCAATATTTAGAGAGATAATAATAAATTTATATATTTTTGGCGTAGAAACACAGGAATAATTACCACATCCTCCCCCAACTTATTGACTGTCCCCAGTCAATTCTGACTTCGACTGTGTTTCGGAGTTATATCTACAGAAGAATTTGAAATAGCCTGGCCTTGCGAGTGTCTGATTGGCTTGAGGGGTGTTGAGTTGATGATGAATTTGTGTTCCTGAGTTTTGACAAAGCATGCGTCCAGAGAACTTATGGATTTGACTGGTGGTGAATCTGTTTGTCGAGTATTGTGCATGAGTCTTACAGTCGGAGAACTTGTTTATTTGTCCAACTTTTTTGATTGTAGTAAAAAAGTATGTTTGTGTCTTGTTTTATTTATTTCATGTTGTTTTTGTTTTTATTATATTTTGTTTTCATCCAGTACTGGGATTGAACTTGAGCCCTTAAAAAAATTATTTTTATTTTTGTGTAGTGGTACATATAGTTTTGGAGAAAAAAAAACTTAGGGAAAAAGGTGATAACTGACAATCCAGCTGACAGCTGGAAAACACCAATCTAGACTTCATAGAGTCAGAGGTTTGGATTGTGGTAAAGGTGGGGCTTGAACCCATGGTCTGATTGAGTGTCTTGAGTTCTTAAACCACTCGACTAGACTTGCTGCTTGGTTGACCTTTGAGTTAGAAAAACAGTCCTTTGCGCCGTATTCCGCACAGGCGTGACAGGTCCCGGTCCGATCGGCGATGGGGGTGTGCCCTCTCTCCATCCTAGGTATCCCACTCCGTGGGTCTCTTCTTCCTGCAGCCACCTCGTTCGATCCGTCGTCACCTCAACCTTGAAATCTGGCCGCCACAGTGTCTCAAATGCAACTTTGCAGCTCGACCGATGGTTTATCCATCTTGACAGGTAGGTAAGTTGACTTGCTTCTTCTCTGCTTCTAGCCACTTTTTCCTCTATGTAGCTGACAGGCTCATGACTCGACCGATGGTTTACCCCACTTGAAAGGTCCCCGATCTCCCGCCGTCACTAGCTTTGGCCTTGGAGCATTCGTGCTCTCGTCGCTGCCAGTACGTCCTTCCTCTTTCTTCTAATTCGTTTATCCATCTGGTATCGTCACCGCGCTCGCTTTTTAGTTCTCACCCCGGCTGACTTCCAATTTTATGTGATCCTTTCTTAGAGTAATCTAGGATCGAGGACACCACTGCCGTTGTTTTGACAATTCAACCCGACTACGTTTCAATCAAACGATACCGCTACCTCTGCGCGCTAGTCCTCTTTACCCACGATGTTTCTGCGTTGCTGGAAACCACCTTGGTTTTTCTTTGATCCTCTCAATACCTTCGCAAGCGCCATCGTCTCGTCTATAAATACCGTCCTCGCTTCTGTGTTTCCTTGCTTTCCTCACCAGCCTACTTCCCCAGCCAGCTGCATCAACTCCACTTCCAACACTCACCACGTCCATCGGGTTGTTTTCTCAACCAAACTTCCTCTTTCCATTACTACCACTATGTCGTCCGAAACCTCTAAAATGTCCTTGCCTGTCGAAATCCCGGGCCCTCGCGGCTATCAAACAATATCCAATCCAACTCCCGCCAACGATTTAAGTCCTCGTCTTTTTTTGTGATTCTAATACTGATCGATTGCTCGTACTAATCATATGCTTGTTTCTAGACCTCCTTCGTGCAGAATGGGATACACTACTACCCCGAGCGCGGCGATTGGAGCCCGCTCTTTGTGCCTAACGCTGAGGTGAGTCTTTGCCTTTTTCTCCTGCTTATCTATTGTTTGACTAGCCTTACTGATGGGGCTCAGCTTGTGTTTGATATAGCCCCCTTGCGCCGCGGACATCCCTGTCGACCCGATCTCCGGTCCTGATGCTAATCCGGTGAGTTGTCCTTTGTCTTCATTGTCTTGTTGCGTTGTCGAGTTTGACTGATTCTTTTTTATGCCTCTTCTACTTGTTCTAGGTTGATCATCCTGCCAACACTCAGGTTGATCCCATGGCTGATCAAGACACCGAAATGAAAGCGGTAAGTCTTGATCTCTTGCTGTTCATTCTAGATGCTGAGCTGATAACCTTCCGTCACCAGACTGTCCTCGACAACGCTCCCGACTTCTCTTGTCCTCCTCCTATCAAGGCCTTCCCAGCTCCCATCCCCCTTCCTTATGGGATGGAGCTCATCCAGACTGGTACCCACTTCCTTCCTCAAAAGGAAAAGTGGCAAAGCCTCTACGATCCGGCCAGGAACTTCGATTTGGTAAGCTAATTTAGTCTTCTGTTCCGTGGTTGCTTGTTGTTATACCCTAACACTATCTTCCCTCCTTTCTAGTCCACGATCCCAGACGAAGTCCCTGTTCCTCGAGGGTTTATCGATCCTCATCCGTTCTGCGACATGCCTGTGTGCTGCGACCCCGTGGTACGTCCTTCCTTTCTTAATCTTCTCCTTGTTGTCTTCAGGTTACTGATCCTGAGTTTTGATTTTGTCTTCTTCTGTAGTTCCAAAACCCGCCGCCTGGACTCGTCCTTCCGGTTGTTAATCCGCTCGTGGCCGCCAACCTCCAGTCGCATGCTCCTGGTGCTCATCCCTCTTCGGCCTCGTCCTCCGCCTCTGATGCATCGACCTATCCGCCGCTCTCCGAGTTCCTTCACCTCGATCACAAATCCGTCCAGGGTCTGCTCTCCAAGAAAAATTCACCGCCGGAAGCCACCTGCTTGTACACTGAAGAAGATGTAATGCGTATCTTTGAAGGTATCGCCCCCGAGTTCGTTTGGTTGTGTGATGATTTCCCTCCTCACACTTTAAATGAATTCGACCGCCGTGTTATGTTCTTTGAGAACATGCAGTGGCACTTCAAGTGCAAGAAGTCCACCTACTTGTCGACCCGTAACTTCTGAGTATTGTTGTATTTTTCTTCTTTTTCCTAAAACCCAAAAAAATTGTAAAAGATAAAAAGAAACTAAAAAGATTTAAAACTTCTTCAAACCTCAAAAAAACTTTTGTATCCTCTTTTATCCCTGACTACTCCTCCTCCAGTTATTATTAGTTATTACTTTTTCCTTCTTTTCTTGGTCTTTTCTTTTCAAGTAAATAAATTTTTAATTTTTCTAATTGATTGCCCAGACCCCCTCCCCCAACTTTGATGGTTGTCCCCAACCATGGCTGATTTTAGTGAGTAAGAGTGAAGAAATCTTTTTGAAGAAAATGAGTTTGAAGAAAGAAATAAAGAGCAGGAAAAGAAAAGAGATAACAGACTATACTATGGACTTTTCTCCCCCAACTTATAAAATTTGGCTGGAATTGGTACGTTTTTATCTTTTGTGTCTTTTCATCCTTTTTTTTTTTTTTTTTTTTTTTTTTTATATGGTATTTATCTTTTATCTTTAAATTTTTATGTTTATTTGATAAGATAACTAAAAAACTGACTTAGAAATACAGAAAAGAAATTCAAAGAAAGATATGAAAAAAATGTTGTTATTCTGAAGCGTTAGAATCCCCGTCGGAGCTCTCTTGTGAGCTATGATCCGAATCTGAATGTGAGTCTTCTTCGTCCCGAATGTCTGATAAAGGCCGTCCTCGTGGGTAAAACCTCTTGATGTGAGATGCAGCATAAGCCCTTTTTAGTTCAACTCCGTCCAGTTCCTCGAGTATATAGGATCCTCCGTTCAGTTGTTTCTTGACTTTAAATGGTCCATTCCACCTATTTTCAAACAATTTTCCCCACTGATCCTCCAGACTCTTGTTGTAAGTTAAAACTAGGTCCCCGGGTCGGAGTGGTTGTCGTAATCTAGCCGCCATTTTCCGATCCCAGAACCGAACTGAATTCTCTCGAGTTTCCATCATTTTGTGGTGAGCTATGTCCAAAATCTCGTCTCGTCTTTCCAACTGTTTTGTCCTTGCTTCAAGAAGTTCTGCTGTAGTACTGATTTCCGTCCAATCAATTCCCAGGTAGGTGTCCATTTCGATATCCACAGGTAGAACTGCCTTCTGTCCAAACATCAGCTCGTACGGAGAATATCCAGTAGTCCT